ATTGTTCTTCTGTCTTGTCTTGCTCCCTGTGGAGTGGGGAGTACGTTAACATCTTCTGCCTCAATTTGAGGGTGCTGCTCTGACGCGTGATACGGGACCCGTGCTTGTTAAATGACAGTCCAGCTGGCTGAGGTCTTGAGTGTCATCTCGAGCTGCCGGCGCAGCTGGAGCAAAGTGCATTGATCTCTCATCCCGCGTGAGCTCACCTTTTGCTGCGCAGTAGCTCAGCCGAGAGCGGTGCCTGCCCCAAGATCAGATCTAGATTGTTGTTTTATTTGACTCCTTTTCCCAGCACTGAGGGCTTGAGGGGTGATTTGTGGGGGAGAGCCCGTTAATGTTTTCTGAGGTTTTCTCAAGTTGGGGAAGCCCAGACTGCAAGCGCTTCTAAGCTTTCTGATCAACTGTAGCCTTTCCTGCAGCCCTCTCCTGCAGTTTCTGTCTTCAGAAGCGCATTTCCATCAGAAATGTTTCCTTTGGATTTTTTAATAGCAGTTTCTGCCTTTTCCAAAAGCGGGAGCTGCCGGGTCAGAGCTGGCTACAACCCCTGTAGGGAGACGTGGCTGGTGATTGCCTGTCTGCTTCTTTGCAGTCTGTTGTTCGGATTTGCTGCATTCGGAGCTTTGGCCACTTCATTACTCACTTGCAAGGCAGCATCCTGCAGTTCAACTCAGAGCTTGGGATCTTCATCAGCATAGCACAGTCGGAGCAAGACAACTTGCTGCACCAAGCCCAAGCCCAGTTTCACATGGTGAGTTGGCAGAGGTGGGCTAATTCTCTGTTCTTGGGGCAATTTCCTGTAGATTACTAATAGATTGTAACTATAATCACAGTTTTTTGTTGGGAGAGAAAAGTTTTGCTCCTTAAAGCTACTCAGGTGTCCCCTTTTCATGCTGTTTCTGGCAGCACGTGCTTGTGTCGGCTTGCGTGTTTCCTGCTAACTGATATGGAAGTTTGTTTCTGTAACTAGGCTGCAGAGGAGGCTCGTCGGAACAGGCTAATGAGAGATATGGCTCAGCTTCGACTGCAGGTAGGAGACTCTGGTTCCAGCCTGAAAACGGGCAGGGTAGTGGCTGAAATGTCTGAAACTGGGAAGGGAAGGGGGAGCTCTCTGCTCCCATCCCACACGGAGGCAGTGTCTGTTCTGCAGAGACAGAACCGTGGAACATCTCGAGTCGGAAGGGACCCATAAGAATCGAGTCCAACTTCCTGCTCCTCGCAGGGCTACCTAAAACTAAACTATATGCCTAAGAGTGTCGTCCAGATGCTCCTTGAACTCTGACAGGCTCGGGGCCCTGACCGCTTCCCTGGGGAGCCGACCACCCTCTCGGTGAAGAACCTTTTCCTGATGTCCAATCTGAACTGTGCCCAAAACTGCACACAGTACCTGAGGTGGGGCCGCACCAGCGCAGTGTAGAGTGGGACGATCACCTCCCTCTGACCTGCTGGTGGCATCCAGCCCTCTGCTCCGTGTCCTGGGAGGTTGGAAGGGTTTGATGGAGCTTTGCAGGACCAGTCGTGCCCTGTTTGATGGTTTGGTTCACCATAAATGTGAAACAAGTGCCTCCGCTTGTGTGGTTTTTTTCAGCTGGAGGTTTCTCAGCTGGAGGGAAGTCTCCAGCAGCCCAAAGCGCAGTCAGCCATGTCTCCTTATCTTGTCCCGGACACCCAGGCCCTCTGCCAGCACCTGGCTGTTGTCAAGCAGCTGGCCACCAGCGGGAGGTTCATAATCATCATCCCTCGAACAGGTATGGGGACTCCACGTCAAATCACTGAGCCTGCCTTCCCCGCGTTCCCTCTTGGCTGGAAAGCAAGCCCTGGGGGCCAAGGCGGTGGATTTCTCTCCTGCTGCCGTTGTCCTTTACTTCAGCTGGAGCAGTTGAAACACCGTTTCCGCATGTCACTTTTGGGGGCTGCTTTATGTGTGGCCCATGCTTGGAATCTAACATGGTGTATCGAAGAACATCTGGAAAGAGAGAGGCCCTGTTCACCCTCTGCTTCGTCTGCCTCCTGTGGCAGCCCTTGCTGCCGTGCATCGGAGACAGTTCAGTGGGATGAGGAATTCTTGATGCATCTGGATTAGTTTGCTGAAGTATAGCTGTAAGCCAGATGTTTTTGCTTGTTTTTTTTTTCCCTGTTAGTGATTGATGGCTTAGACTTCCTGAAAAAGGAGAACGCAGGTGCTCGGGACAGCATCCGGTATCTGGAGGCAGAATTTAAAAAGGGAAACAGGTGAGAGTGGGAGAGCGATGCGATTTGTCCTTGCTTTTGGAACGGGTGTATTTTGTATTTTGGGGTGGAAAATGATGTCAATGGTGGGAGCAGGCTGTGCATCCCTTGGAGCAGGGTGAGGAGTGGGCCAAGGGAAAGCCAGGCCTCAGGAATGTGCTTGGCGAGTGGGAAGATGGTGAAGTAGCAGATCTGGCAGCTGGTTCTCCACATGCGCTTGTAGCTGCTGCTCAGCCGTGAAATGTTGCTGCTTCTGAGGAATGGAGGGAGTTGCATCTCTTTGTCAGTGTATAAAACTGAGCGGTACTTTGTACTGATGCACTGGGAGCGCTGGAAGAGCTGTACTGCATTATTTGCCCGGGTTAGCTGTAGAAGGACAAACAGCTGTGCTGCTGTGAAGACAAACTGTGTCTTCAAGGTCTGCGTCAGGGCTTTGAAACACTTGTGATGTTGTGAACTGCGCATAGCGATGGTGATGAGACAGGGGAGATGATCTACAGGATTTCCTACGGGATTCCTCGGGCAGGCCTTTGGGTGTTACTTCGGTTGATAAAAGCAAGTGTTGCGAAAGGGTCCTGCAGCACCTGGCAGACCTGCTGTAGAGCATTGCCTTCAGTCTGTGTGACGGTCTCCTTTTGAGCTCAGTGACTCTGATCTTTCCTTAGGTACATTCGTTGCCAGAAAGATGTTGGGAAGAGCTTTGAGAGGCATAAATTGAAGAGACAAGATTTAGATGCCTGGTAAGATCACAACATCTGGAGATGTCTGAGCCTGACTCCCAGCAGGCAGGTGGCTTTGGGGAGGGGTGTTAGCACTGGGACCCGTCGTGCAGCTTGCTTGATTTGGTGCTCTGTGTGAGCAATTATAAAATTCCCTAGAGAGAGCGTTAGGGCATCCATCTATCCATCTCGCGTAGCACCAAACACTTGGTGCTAAGAAGGGTCTCAGAAAAGTCCTCAACAGGCAACAGAGAGATGGTTCTGCCTTCCACGTGTCCTCCTGAGCATACGTGAAACTGTTCACTCAAACAAATGGTCTTCCCTCCCACTTTCCCCTCTGTTTCTCTTTCTCTTGCATCTGCGTGGCAGGAATCTCTATAAAATACTGGACAGCTGCAAACAACTGACAGTGTCCCAAGGAAGCGGAGAGGACGACACCACAGGAATGGTCACCATCATCACGGGCTTTCAGCTGGAGGACCCAAGCACGTTCTCAGCGCCCATGCAGGTCAGGAGCTCTTTGGCTGGCTGAGCTGAGCCTTTCTGCTCTGCAAAATCAAAATCTGGTTGATTGGCAAGGGACTTTTTTTTTTTTTTTTTTAATTTTTTCTGCCCTGGGTAATAACTGTCCTGGATTTCCCAAATTTAGTTTATAAGCCGTGGTTCCTATTTCCTTGAAGGCCCCTTGATTTGTCATGCTTTTGTGGTGCAAAGTGTCCTGGGGGAGGTGGGAGAAGTAATTTGCATGCCTGTGGAGCCCCTCCTGCCAGAGCAGCTTTGGCATGAAGGAGAATTGGGTCTTTTAGCCATGACAAACTCTGCCTGGGAACCTCCAAGTTGTGAAGGGCAGCCCTCTTGACAGAGGAATTAAAAACTACCCTGTTTTGTCTCTGTTTGCCTGCAGTCTGCCATCCAGGCAGCCGCCAATGCCAGCGTAGAAATAAAAAATGTTCTGGAGTTCTACAAGCAGTGGAAAGAGATGGGCTGATGTTCAGAAAGGCATCGGGTTGGTGTACCTTTCTCTCCCCCTCTCGGAACGTGCAGCGTCTGAACGAAGGAAACAAAAATCCAGGCGACACTTAGACACGAAGAAGCAGCAGCAGCAACAATAACAAAAAATATCTACCAAAAACAAAACAAAAAAATATCCAATTTGGGCACGCACACAGACACTCTCCACCTGTATCCTGACCAGACGGCTGTACATCTCCGACGGCGCCAACTGCTCTGAGAAGAGAGAGGCACCTCGGCATGGCCGAGGCAGAGCTCTGCCCTTCTCCCAGTCGGCAGAGATGGGCGAGAGACGGGCAGTCATTCATTCCCCCCCACCTCATTCCTCCCCGAAGCTTGCTTGGTCATCTCAAATGGGCAGGCGGCTTCGAAAGCGTGAACTTGACTTTAACGAAACCAAACCAGCGCAGCAGAAATGGAGCCCTCCTAGCTTGGGAAAGAAGATCCAAAGAGTGTTTAGCTCTTGTTTGGCAATCTGGTGACAGGAAAGCAGATATTCTTTTTTGGGTTGGGTTTTCTCCCCCTCCCCCCCCTCCTTTGAATGAATTATTTTTCAAGGTTTTTTTTTTTTTCCTTTTAATTCTTAGTTTTTATATATATAAATAATATTAAAAAAAAAAAAAAGGAAAAAGTGGAGTTCCTCTGGGGTTCTGGATACTCATCCAATGTCAGAGAGAAAAGGAAACAATTATGCTATTTAAAAGGGGGGGAAAGCTCTTAATATAATTTTTTTTTTTTTTTTGCTTTGAACAAGCATATTTATTTCCTTTCCCTGTCCCCCACGGAGCAGGCGTAGTGCAAAGGGATGTTGGCCTGCAAGGAGAGAGCAGTCTGAAGCGCCCCGATGGGCTTTGGTGCACATCCTTGCTCTCCTTACAAGCTGCACGCTTCATGAGCAACACGAGATCGGCCGGGCTGTTTTGAGAGAGGTGAAAAGGACTCTGTTCCTCCTTCCCCAGTCCCTCCCGCTTCTTTGCTTCCAGCATTAGACTTCGGAGAAGAGGAGGGGAATCCAGCAGAGTCGCTGGAAGAGAGAGAAGAGCCATGTGGGATTTAAACACCGATAAGGCTCGACCACTTGGCGTGAGTGCTGTGACGCTGGGATGGAGCAGACATTGCCGAAGGACCCAATGCCTCTTCTTTTTTTTTTCCTTTTTTCTTTTTTTCTCTCTAAATCTTGCAATGAGGTGTGGAGGAAGAAGGAGGATCTCGAAGCCGTTATCTCTTCTGCCGGTTGTTCCGACGCACCACTGCTGCTATGCCGTGCTAGAGAGGGTGGCAGAACTCGAGTGTTTGTAAACCCCGTCCTCACGTCCCTCCAGGGCAGGCGCAGGCAGCGCAGTGACCGCCGCTGCCCAGGACTGAGCTCACAAACCGTTCAGTGCTTTTAGCATCCCCAAAAAAAACCCCCAAAAAAACGGAGGGATGATGCTACTTGGACGGATGCTGGAAGAGCTGATTCCCCGTGTGACCTGCGAGGGACCTTTCAGACCTCCATCCTGACAGCATCTCATGCAACCTGTGTCTGACATCCTGTCACACGCCGATGTTTGGAAATGAAGAAACGGGTTGCTCCCAGGACAGCAGAGCGGTGGGAGATGGGCTGAACGGCCTCTTTGTAGCTCATCTGTGTCGATGTACTCAAGAAACAGATGTCTCCATCCACATGAACTAACAGCAGCTATGCAAGTAAAAACCACTAGTCTTCTACGTTTGCGTGTTTTTTTCACACGGGCCAGCCAGAAGCTGCTACGAAAGGGGCGTTATATGGAAAGACAAGTAACATACTCCAATCTGTGCAGACTTCCGAGCGTGATGCATTGTACTGGAGTGGCAGGATTTGTTTTCAGGTAAAAACTAGAAAAACAAAACCAAACCAGCACAAGTCCCGGAGGATTCATTTATATTCCGATTTCAGTTCCTTTGCAGCATGCAGCCTTGTAGCGCAGCAGAGAGAAATGCTGAGCTTTAACTTCCCGCTCCGTACCTCGTGGTCTGAAAGGCGGGTGGAGGGGGCAGAGTGGGCAGAGTTTCCCGACAGGTTTTTCCTTTTGCAGCTTCTCCTGAAACTTGCGGTGCTTTTCTAGGCTAAGCCAAGGAGACAACATAAGCAGAACGGCAGGTCAAAGACTCTGGCTCATCTCGGGTGTTCTTAGAGATCTAAGATGGGCTGTGAAGCTTGTCAAGTCGCTCTTTCCTCCAGTGTTTTTATTTCAAGCCATCGTCTAGCTCGTTATTTTTGTTTGATGGGGTGGGAAAAGAAAAGAGCATCGCCTTGTGGGGCTTGTCCTTCAGCGTATGAGCCAGAGCAGTGTGGTGGACACCAGAGTCGCCTCCTCTTCTGCCCCTCCGTTGACTTGGAGAGTGCTGCTCAGTTACGGTGAGATACGCTCCCTGGTCGGTGGAAGCCTGACTCAGGGGGATGCGTAGCTGGTGGACTGTGCTTTTTTTTTTTTTTTTTCCCTGCTGCTTAAGAAAACCATCCACCGCCTTGGCTGCAAAGCCCATCAGAAGGGTCTGCAGCCTGCAACTCCCTGCTGGAGATGTGCTGGAGCTGAAGCCTGCCTGTGTTTGCAGTCCTCAGAGGCGTAATTGTCATTCCCTTCTGGCTGCGTAGTGCAGAGCGCGCGCTCGGGGTTGGTAACGCAAAGAGCATTGCTTGGCTGAAACCAAAACAGCGAGGAGTTGACGCCATTCCTCTGCTTTGGGGACTTTTTTGGGAAGGAAGAACTAGATCTTCGTCTGCATGGCTAAGACAGGCTGCGCCTCCACAAAGGGAAATGCAGCTCGGGCCAAGATTCGGGATCTACCCCGATGCACCTCCTCGACCGGCCCGCAGCCCTCCCTTGGCCTCTTCCCTTGGCCACAGCTGGATCTTGAGGGGAGAAGAGAGCAATGCAAATAAAGCAGCAACCAAAAGGGAATTCCAGTGATGCCGATGACCGGTGCCTCGGCTCGTGGAGCTACGCGGGCCGCCCGTGGTGCAGGCTGAGCGCCGGGAGCCGAGTGCTGTGCGCTCAGGGCAGCAGATGAGGTCGGTGCTGTCACGGAAGAGGGTGACAGCAAAGGGTCAGCAGTCCAGAAGACGGGCTAACGCGCTCTATCCCTGATGGCTTGTTTGGGCTGGACACGGAAGGCGGTTTAAGAACAAAAGTAAATAAACTTGGCGTTTCTGTAAGAAGCTGGTGTTGCTGAGCTGCAGTGAGCCCGCTCAGGGGCCACACGGCGAAACCAGAGGGCTTCTTTCTAAAAGGCGGCAACGCTGTTGCCTTACTTTCCTCCTAACCATCCCCTAGTAACTGCCCTGCTCTCCTGAGGGCTTCTTCTAATATTACCCTGAAGTTTTGCACACCTGGAGAGGAGGAGAAGGCCCTTAGCAGGGACTCTTCACCGCCCACTGGCGTCTTTCAGTACGTGGTACCTCTGGGCTGAGCGGGGAGGGACAGTAACCTTTTACAAAAGGTACCTGAAAGATCCCTGTGCCACCCTGCTTCTCTCCACAACATGCAACTACGATGGGGGACCTGAAAAATTTTTTTTTTTTTTGGATGCGCGTCCCCAGTCAGAGATACACCAAGCTGAAAAATTGGGAGACTTTCAAAGCTCCGGAACAGCGGAGCTGCAGAGCAGCCTCAGGGAAGATGGCAAGCTGTGTCCTCCGGCAAGCGCTGCCTTCTACTGGAGGATCAATTTGATGTTTTTAAGACTGGGGTAAAGGAAGACGCTTCTTAGCCCAAATCCTAGTGCTCGTGATGAGTTGGAGTCTCCTCCTGTGCCACTTTGCCCCAGATGGGATTTGGTGCGTCACTTCCCAATCCCAACCAAGAAGCCAAAAGCGGGAATCTGGGTTCCCTGCCCGGTTCTGGTTGCTGATGCTGAGCAGTTGTCCAGGGCTAAAGAAAACTTGGAAGTTCAGCGGGGATGCTCCGTGTCTCCTGGCGTACTGCTCTGCCTGTGGCTCCTGCGTGCTGGACCTGGGCTTTCCCGAGAGCTCACCACGGCGTGATCATCCCCGCCTGAGCGAGAGCCGCAGACACTCGCCAAGCTAACGGCACCCAACGGTTGAGCCGTGTGAAGGGCAGTTCTGGTCCACTGCTAATCCATATGGTGCTATTTCTGTACCGGCTCAAAGCTTGCGAAGACCAGCTCCAAGCTCATCCCGTAACGTCCACTGCGCTGGGAAGGAGAGCAAAAAGAAAAACAATCTTGTGGGCCGAAAGCATCATTTTGAATGTGTTCTTTGGTGTGTTTCTTGGTTTGGATTTTCTTTTCCTTACCACCACGTTGAACTCTTGGAAATGTATGGGGTGACCCCAAGCTGGGAGAGCGTAGGTTTGCGGTGGTTGAGGCTCGCTGGGTTTCCCGAGGAGGCGGCGGAGGGGCCGGGGGCTGTCCCCGTGCCAGGCTTGGTGGACACTGTCCCTCTGGCGCTTGTTGGACTTCTGCTCGGTGGTTTCACGGGCCGTGCCAAGCGACTCTTCCTTCTGCTCCCATCCTTGCTCGGCTCGACGCCACCTGCAACGCCTTGGATTTTCGCTTTGCATCTTAGATTTATTTTATTTTATTTTATTTTATTTTTCCTTCTTGATGTCTGGCAGAGCTGGCCGCTCTGGCTGGGGCAGAAAACAGGATGGGGGAAAAAAAAAGGGGGTGGCTGCGAGAGTGGAGAAAGGCAGGAGGGGTTGGCGCGGGGAGCCCCGTGTCGCTGGTCCTGCCTCTGGCTGCTGGCAGGGGGGGGGCTGTTGCCTGGC